GAACCAATCAATGATTCTCTTTTCACCTTTGATGTTTCTATCTCTCCCATTTTCTCTTTGAAATCAATAAAAAAAAAAAACTTGTTTTAATGCCAAAACAAATTTTCTGTTGCTTTCCTTTTCAGTTGAGAAGTCGTTTATCATGTTAAATGTGTGTGTGTGTATGTACATAGGTTTTTGTTTTTTTTTAAGAAGGTATTGAAATACAATTGAAATCACGATTGGCATAGATGTGAAGAAGGGAGAGGCAGGACTGTTTCCCATCTATAAATTAAAATAAGGACTTCTCTTAAATTTTCAGCAACTACAGATGTTTATTCATTCATTGAAGCCTGCTAGATATTGTCTAAATATGCATCTTTGTATTTGTGTTACCCCAAGTCAGTCTCTTTTTTATGCCTTCCATTTTGGCTATAACTTATTTTTTGCTGTGTAATTTTTATAGTAAGGCTGACCTAGAAATAAAGGAAGCTGCTGGGTTGACAATTTTTCAGTTAAACCACATCCTTTGCTTTGCATGGATATAAAATATTTTAAAGTGAAAAAATATTTCATAAATCTTTTTTGTCGTTAATCCTCGCCTGAGGATTTTTTGGGAGCGGGGGGGGGGTATAGTGGTAGAGAGAGGGAAAGACAGAGAAACATTGATGTAAGAGAAACATATCGATTGGTTGCCTCCAGCACAAGCCCCAACCGGGGTCCTGGCCCTGGGCCTGGGAGGAGCCTGCAATTAACCCCTTCCCCAACAATTTTTTTGTTAAAAACGTTTCTTTTTCAGACTAATTTTTTTATTTTGGTTCTGTATAGTATTTTTGATGCTGGTTATGAAAACAGTTTGTAACTCGTCTTCCTATAAACCATATTTTTTTACCATATTTTCTTAGTATACTCGTCGACGACTGAAAAAGAACATTTTGTGAAAACGTGTATACACGTTTCTGCTGGGGAAGGGGTTAAGGTACTTACCCTGGACTGGAATAGAACCTGGGATCTTTTGGTCTGCAGGCCATGGCATTATCCACTGAGCCAAATCTGCTAGGGCATAAGTCTTAATTTATTTATTCAAATTCTTTATTGTTTAAAGTATTACATGAATCTTCTTTTTCCCCCATTGACCTCTCCCGGCTGCTCCCACCACCCAGCACATGTCCTCACTCCCTACTGTCTGTGTCCATTGATTATGCTCATTATCATGCATAGAAGTCCTTTGGTTGATCTCTTACCCTCTTACCCACCACCTTCCCTCATAGGTTGGACAGCATGTTTGATGTTTTTATATCTCTGGTTTTGTTTTTGTTCATCAGTTTATGTTCATTATATTCCACAAATGAACGAGATCATGTGGTAAATTATGCTGCTATGAACATGGGGGTGCATACTAGGTGTATTGGTTAATAATGCAGATCTTGTAATAAAAGAAAACATGATAATTTCAAGAGAAACATCAAAAGTGCTTTATTCAAAGTAATGTCCATTGCTGGCTACACATTTCCCCCATCTTTCAGGTAATTTGTGGATAATGCTCCAATAGAACGTTTCTTGTTTTGTGGCAAACCATTCAGAGACCCAGTTTTCCACTAAGCATGTTTCCAAGTGTTGCTCAGAAAGTGCATGTGCCATCTATCAGAACAAGTGGTAATCTGAAGGAGCAAGGTCTGGTGCATACAGTGGGTGGGTTAATACTTCCCAGGCAATATCTTTTAACGTGTCTTTAACTGGTTTTGAAGTGTGTGATGGTGCGTTACCATGAAGCAAAATTACTTTGCCATGTCTTCTGGCATATTCTGGTTTTGACAGGGTACCTCAGGCCGTGTCATCTGTTTGGATCTAGCCCAAATGGGGGTGGGGCCGGCTGGGTCTGGGTCTTGTGGGATTTTGAGGTGCATGTGGGTGGGCGGGGACTTGACTCTGGTTCCTGTGGCGTACCCCAGACTCTGACAGGAGGAAGATTTTCATATACATTTTACGAATTTTCTTTCATCTCTGACACTTCTATTGTAGAGAAAGGGCAAACAAAAACACTTCCTCTAATTAATTCCCTTTTAATGTGTACCAATTTTGTGCACCGTGACACTACTTTATAAAAATCCCAGAGGTTGTAAAAGTAATTCCTAGAATAAATGGGTTTAGGAAACAAGTATTAGAGGCAAAGGAAGGTCACTTGGAGCTTGGGAGTGCGGAAGTTAATGGTGCCATGGGTGGTGGAGTGAGGGGAGGGGAGGGACGAGAAAAGGGAAAGAAAGGTGAATTTAGGAGTGTATAATGTGTTCAAAACATATTTTTCTTATTTTCTGCCAATTTGTTGAAAGGGGGGAATGGAAGTCTTGGAATCTGAATTGCTACTTCTCCCTTGTTTATGTTTTTCCTTCTTGTATTTTAATGCTCTGTTAGGTGAATATAATTGATAATTTCTTGGTGGCTTGATCCTTGTGTGGTTATAAAATGTCTCTCTTAATCTCTAATATTTTTGTGTTTTATTACTGTTTTGTCTGATAATTAATAGTCATTTCTCCCCTTTTACTTTCAACCTATTTGTATATTTGTATCTAAAGTCTGTCTATTGGAGACAGCATATCATTCAGGCTTTTATTTTTATTTTTAAATTTTTAAATGGAAAGAGATAGAAACATCAAGGATGAGAATCATTGATTGGCTGCCTCATCCACGCCCCTCAGCAGGGATTGAGCCCACAACCCAGGCATGTGGCCTGATATTTTCTAATGTAGCATTTAAATTTATTTAATGATTTTTAAAATCATTTGATGGAAGTGCAGATTACTTTAAAAGTTGTTTTTATTTATGCCTTTAAAGATGTTAAGCATTTAAAACTTGATTTGTTATATTTGTGTTTTTTAACAAAGTGAAAAGACTGTCACTGGTGTGGGATGGAGAGGTGAGGAATGTGGGGGTCAGTGAGGCTATTTGTGCCACTGGGAATAAAAGGGAAATAGGATTTTAAGTGTAGATATTTGATAGGAAGGTTAGCTTCACCACTCTAAGTGCACATTACAAGGATGCAATTTTATTTTTTGGCTAAGCCAGTTCTGAGGTCCATCCTTTTCGATCAGCACAACTGTCTGGTGGCCCAATTTATTGCCGAATGGCCAGCCACCTCTTCCCGCCCTTACCCTGGTATGAGCCACAACCCAATCCCCTCTCCGGCTTTCCTTCCTTTACTGGCTTGTCCCCCAGAGATGGTGGGGTCCCTGCCTAGAGTTTGGGCAGCCAAGCATCTCACAAAGAACTCGGGGTGAGGGCCAGAGTGAGTGATCCCTTGCCCCCAGTGCCAGGGGCTTGTGGTTGGGGCTGCCGGTGGGAGTGGGGAGGGGGAGCAGGGATGCAAGCACCATGATGCTAACAATAAGCATTTATTGGGCAACTGTGGAGAGCTGAGCATGGAGCTGAGTGCTAGCCATGCATGAGGCCACAATCCTCAGTCCCTGGAGGAGGAAAGCTAGCCAGCTCCATTTTACAGAAGGAAACAACACACAGGCAGGGCAGGCCAACCCCCAGAAGGCCCACAGGGAGGGAGTACATTGACGCACTGGGAACAAAGCCTAGGTGCGTCTGGACGCAGGTGCCCGAGGCTTCCCCTCTCCCGTATCCACCCCCAGGGCCTGTGCACCCGCCCCGGGCCTCCACGAACCTGAAGGGGGTTCATTAGGTTTCTGATTGCTTCGGGCTATGAGTCTAAGGGAGCAGCCTGGCTCGTTATAACGGGACATCAGAAATGGCTTGGGACATGCTCTAATGGGGGCATGCAGACGGTGTGGCTCCCCGTTTCGACCCGCTCCCTGAGCAACGGGCTCCTCAGCGGGGCTGGAGTTCGATGGGGATCTGGCTGTGTGCCAGGAGGTAGCAGTGTGCTGCCGGAGGCTCAAATTCCTCAGCTCCCATTACGCCAGGAAGGGGAAACCGAGGCCCAGAGAGTGAAGTAGACTGGACTAAGGTCATTCTGGGGAACCGCCCCTTCCTGAACCACCCCCCCACACACGCCCTATCCCACCCCAGGGATCTCCACCCTGCCGCACCCTTCCCCACTCCATCCTTACAAGCTGTCGGGCTCGCCCCCTCCTCACCGTGCACCTCGGCCAGGCACCGACACCTCCTTCCCAGCGTTCTCCAAGGATGCATTTTTTGTACATCTGATGGTAGGGGCAACTTGCTGATAGGAGTTAGAAGCAGGATTAGACAGACACGGTAACGGGTAGAAGAAGGAAGTGTGGACAGGACAGTTGGAGCTAGCTGAAACCACAAAATGTTTTGTAGAGATACAGGATGTTATGAGACAAGGATGTTTTACTTGCAAAGCAAAATAAAACGTTACAAAAGACAGGAAGGAAGAGGGAAGGAGGAGGAGCAGCGCAAGATAGATTTTGAAATTGTTCTAGGCTGCGAACCAATCAGCGGCATAGACAAAGACCAGCTTTTAGCAGATAGAAGGGGGAAGAGCAGAATGCTTTAATGGCAACCTAAATTTGGGTCCCTTCCCTGAGTGGGGGGTCGGGAAGGCCCTGTGTTTGCTTGCAATAAAGTTCTGCCTTGCTTGAACGCTTCATTTTTCAATTCTGTGAGATGTGGCCCCAGGAAGAATTCCTGCTTTCGGGTTCCGCCATTATCATTGACTGATGTTCTGAATAAGGGAAGCATCTGTGTAGTTTGGAAGGTATGGTACTAGGGAGGAGAGGAAAGGTTTTAGTAAAATTATTTTATTTTTTAAATATATATTTTTATTGATTTTAGAAAAGGAGGGAGAGGGAGATAGAAACATCAATGATGAGAGAATCGTTGATTGGCTGCCTTCTGCACATTTCCTACTGGGGATCGAGCCCACAATAGGCATGTTCCCTTGACTGGAATTGAACCTGGGACATTGTGTCCACAGGCCAACACTGTGCTCATTCAGCCAAACCAATTAGGGCTAATGTTAAGTTTGATCTTTATGTTCATGAAGTAAAATTGGTCTGCTGGCTTAGTGATTTCTTTTTTGTTTTCTCCAGAAAACGGGCTGCTCCTTTGTAGAGGAGATTCATATGTTCAGTCATAGCTGGAGTTTTTCAGGTGAGTGCCACTGTTTAACAGGTAAGGGTTTGATAAGGGATGCAGGCAAGGGGGAGATTTTCATGCCAAATGATTTCTTTTTCCAAGAGAAATTAAAACAATAGACTGGAAATCTGTCTCTGCTAAAGTCCATTTTTTGCATTTACATGTAAAAGGTACAAGACTAAGTACATTGTATTTATTCAAAAGTAGAGACTGCAATAAAAAAGTCAGAAAACAGAACCCCTTCCCTCTAATTTCAGGGATGCTTTTGCAGGCCTTCAGTGTCTTTTGTGTCCTCAAGGAGAGAGGAGGGCTAAAATATGCCAAATAACTCAGAAAGGTCATTTCTCTTCATACCCATATGTTCTATATTAGTCTGCTAGGACTGCTCTAACAAAATAACGACAGCCTGGATGGCTCACAGTTCTAGAATCTTGATGCATAAAATCAGGTGTTTGGTTTCACCTGAGGTGTCTCTCCTTGGCTTGCAGATAGCCACCTTCTCTTTTTGACCTCATGTCATCTTTCCTTTATGTGCATACACCTAGTTTTTCTCTTATAAGGACACTGGTCCCGTTGGGTTAGGGACTTAACCCTAATGGCCTCATTTAACACTAATTACCATCCTAAAGGCCCTATCTCCAAATGCAGTCACAATGGGTTTAGGCCTTCAGTCATGAATCTTGTAGGACACACAATTCAATTCATTAAAGACTACCCCCAAGTTCAGAGATGGGAGAATTCATTAGGTATCAATAATTTTTAGACGTGTTGCTTTTAATTTTGAATTACACTTCTACCTGAGTAATTTGGCATATTTTAGCCCTTCTCTCGCCTTTGAAGACACAAAAGACACTGAAGGACTGCACAAACATCCCTGAAATTAGAGGGAAGGTGTTGTTTTCTGACTTTTTTATTTCAGTCTTTACTTTTGAATACAGTGTACTTAGTCTTATACCTTTCACATGGAAATGCAAAAACTAGACTTTACCAGAGATAGATTTCTAGTTATCTTATTAAGGACCTTTACTAGGAGAAAACATGTAAGGAATACATAGATTTTTCTCCTTATATCTTTTGCATACCTTGAATTTCATATTTCTTGAGTTTAGTGAAAAAACTACAACCCATTCTATCATCTGATCTTGTCCCAATTGACATCTATACAAATAAAAATTTGCTTTGTTATTCTTGTTTTTTGAGCTCTGGATGGGTGAGCCAGGCCTAACTCTTTGGGGCTCCTGTACTATGAGAGGGCACAGGCCAGCTGGGGGCCGGGGGGAACGACCCCCCTCCCCCCGCCTCCCGTGCACGAATTTCGTGCACTGGGCCTCTAGTTTATAGATAAATTGTGAGATAATTACTCTACTTATTTGTCTTCAAATATTTGAATATGGCTTATTCTTACACTTACATCTTTGTTATTTTTGTCAGATCTGCAAAATATGTTTAGTGTGCCCTGGGTATTGTAGTAATTAGTTTGTACATCATGATATGAAAAAGATTAAATTCATTGGTCTAGAACAGTGGTTCTCAACCTTCCTCATGCCACAACCCTTTAATATAGTTCCTCATGTTGTGGTGACCCCCAATTTCATTGTTACAAATGGAACATAATTTAAGCATAGTGATTAATCACAAAAACAATATGTAATTATATATGTGTTTTCCAATGGTCTTAGGTGTGACCCCTGTGAAAAGGTGGTTTGACCCGCAAAGGGGTTGCGACCCACAGGTTGAGAACCACTGGTCTAGGAGGTATATACAATTGGATTTTCAATATAACGTGTATGAGTATAGTCAGGTTTGTTGTTCTTCTCAGCTTTTGCTTCCTAGGCTTTCTGGTCCAATAATGGGATGATAGTGACGTCTTTGTCTTACTATCTAAAGTTTTGAAGCTGCCATTTATCAAAATGTAATAAATTTTTATTGTTGGTTTGATATAATTGTTCTTTCAATGAATAGATATTGAATATTATCAAGTTCTTTCCATCTATTAAAGTGATCATGATTTTTAAAAATTGTAATGTAATTACTTTGGTTAATATTCAAATGGCAAATTTTGTGTGCCTAAAACCCGATTTAATCATGATGTGTTCTTTCATATGTTACTCCATATAGTTAGCTAACATTTTGCTTAGGATTTTCACATTTGTCTTTTTGATGGAGATTGGCTTGTTAATTTTCCTTTTCAGCTTTTGGTATGCCAGAGTTATTAAATGAGTTGTAAATTATCCCCTTTTTTCCTTTAGAAGAGGTTATATTGGATTAATGATTCTATAAATGATTGTTAGAATGCGCCAGTAAAGACATATGGGCCTAACATTTTCTTTTTGTTAAAAGATGTTAAAAGAGATGGTATTATGTTAGTCCTGGTGAGGTGTGTTTTTAAAGGAATGTCGTCTTTTCACCTAATTATGAATGTATTGGAATATAGTTACTTATAGTAAACTAGAGGACCAGTGCACAAAAATTTGTGCATTCGCGGCAGGGGGTGTCCCCTTATGCCCAACTTGTGCCCTCTCGCAGTCTGGGACCCCTCGGGGGATGACCACCTGCTGCTTAGGCCTGCTCCCGGGGGATTGGGTCTAAGATGGCAATCAGACATCCCTCTGGCAGCCCGGCAGCGCTTGGGGGATGTCCACTTGCCAGCGGGGAGCAGGCCTAAACTGCAGTCGGACATCCTTAACACTGCTGAGGAGGAGTCCCCACTGGGGTGCCTGGCCAGCCTGGGTGAGGGGCTGATGGCTGTTTTCAGGCTGGCCACACCCCTTTTAGGGTGGGGGTCCCCACTGGGGTTCCTGGCCATTCTGGGTGAGGGGCTGAGGGCCGTTTTTAGGCTGGCTGGCGACTGAACCTCTCATCCTCTCCTTTTTTCTCTTTTTATTTTGGGATTTATTTACCTTCTATAATTGAAACTTTGTTGCTGTCACTGCTCTGAGGCCACGGCCTGCTGAAAGCAGGTATCTGGAGTTTGTTTAGCTTCTATAATGGAAACTTAGTTGCTTTTGGAGTTCAGAGCCAGGTCGCGGCTGGTGGGCAACCTTGGCTTCCTCCTGCTCAATTAAGCTGTGTGGCTGACAGCTGCCATCTTGTTTGGCAGTTAATTTGCATACCACCCTGATTAGCCAATGGGAAGCATAGCGAAGGTATGGTTAATTACCATGTTTGTCTATTATTAGATAGGATATTTATCATTTTAATGTATGGTTTAGTGATAGCCTTCTCTAATATTGTGTTGTCTTTTTTCCATGGTCAGTGTTGTCAGAACTGAAGCTTTTAATGATTTTGTGTGTGTGTTTTTTGAAAGAATCTGCTTGAGTTTGTTGAATCTCTGTATTTTTGTTCGTTTTTTTGTTTATTTTACTGTATTTCATTTCTATGGTTCAATTTATTCTCAGTTCTTTTGATGTGCCGATTATTTCTCACTTTCTTTGTTCTAGTCTGTTTAATGCTATAAATTATCTTCTGTTCTTTTTAAAAAACCATCTTTATTTTTGGAAGTATTACTTAGGGTTCCCCATTAACTTCTTCCAGCCCTTTCCCCTCACCCCTCTCCATTGGCATGATAGGAGACAATTATGAACTAAATTGTGTTCCCACACTCCCAGCCCTAACATCCAATGCGATTGTATTTGACTTGGGCCTTTTAGGGATGCAATTAAATTTAAATGAGGTCATAAGAGTAGGTCCTTAATCCAAAGGACTTGTGTCATTGTAAGTAGAATAAGAGACCTCAGATTCATTCTCTCTCTCCCTTCAAGTGTATCAAGCTTTCTTTATTTCTCAATTATTTTGCAATTTATAGTTACCTTTGCTCCATAATTTCTTGGTGATTTCCAGTGAATTAATCTGAATCATTTTTAATCCTTTGAAATATGAGATTTATTTGTTGCATAACCATATGATCAATATTGATAAAATTTATGTGCACTTCAAAAGAATGTATATTCTGAAGTTGTTGGGTATACTATTAATATAAGGTTGTTTAGTTTTATTTTACCTGTCTTTTTCCTATTATGTAGTTTGGTTTTGATGAAGCCTCTTCAATATGAGGTACACCTGTATTTGGTCGATAGAGGACTGGTTAAATGGTGGTGCAACCATAAAGTAGAATCTTATCCAGACAATGAGGCAGATATGTTAGTGAAATGATAAGATATCCTAATGAAAATCAGGCAAATTGTGGACAGTTTGGTAGGATTCTGTTTGTTTAAAAAATGAGTCTTCATTTATATATTAGTTTTTTATTTATTTTTATTTTTTGTTTGTTTTGTTTTTTATTTTTAAAATACGTTTTTATTGATTTTTCTAGAGAGGGGAAGGGAGAAAAAGGGGGAAGAGAGAGAAACATCAAGGGGTTGCCTTCCATCTGCACCCCTCATTAAACAAGTTGTGAAGATTCCACAAGCATCAAACCTGCAACCTGAGTATGTGTGCCATGACAATCAACTCAGGCACACCAGCAAGGGCTGTGTATTAGTGGTTTTTTAGTGTATCAAAATTTTCTGATAGAGGAGGTGTTAACAGCTGACAATCCCCTTATGGTGCATAGAAAGTAGTGATAGATAATAACATTTTTTGTCTTTTTAAAATAGTGAATATGAATACTTAGAATAAAGAGGTACTTAATAAAAAAATCAGAAAGTAATCACCACTTAAATGTGGGATGAATTCCTGTTAAATATCATAGAAATATTATTGACATTTGCCATCTTTATTGTTGCATCCTCCTTTTCTATTTCTCTTTCGGAAATTAAAATGAGGATTGGTGTAATCTGAATTTTCAGGAATTATGATAGATATAGTCAGCATTGGTGTTCAGGTAAACTAATTTTAAAAGATGTTCTGTCCAGTCAAATAGCTTATTAATAAACGCCTTTATTTTTTACAGATTCCTGACATTCAAAAAAACGTGATTTTTAATACACTTCTACTACTTTAATCAATCAACAATGGATTGGAATGCTAAACCGAATAGTGTCACCTTACAACCAATGTATCCTAAAAAACAGTCATCTCTTTTGGAGCCGAGTATAATGAACACACCATCTCAAGTTCCTTTAAACCCTCCTGGAAGTAACCATCCTCCATGTATGTTTCGGAGTAACTCAAATCCAGTTTCACAGTCACCTCTCAACATCAGAAATACAACTTCCCAACAAATCTCTGCTTCTGATAAACATAGTAGGACAATTTTTGCCTCACAAGCTTCATTGGAAAGAAAAACTTATGCAAATGTAAATGGACCCAATCAACTAAATAACAGTTTGCAAATGTCTCCAGGAGTTGCACAAAATGTGTGGGCAAACTCACCAGTGAGAAATTCTATGTTTTCTCATACAGGGGCAGCTGTTTCTCAACAAACTGGTTTTAGAACTAATCCACCAAATGTAAATGCACTACAGAATCAATTTGTAACATCAGAAATCTATCCTATGCAAGGACAGACGGTCCCTTCTAATTCTGTAAGAGTTCCTGTAACTTATCAAGGACACCAGAGACTTACCTCATCTTTATCAGAGCGACAGGCTGACTGGGCACAACAGTATACATCCAATGGACTGACTTATGCAGATTACAGACCGCATCCAGAGCAATACAGTTATCCACCACAAAGCTTTTTGCAAAGTCCTACTCTTCAGAAACAAAATACTATGCAACTTACATCAGTACACGTTAAAAATAGTCATCATTCAAATTCTGCACTGACATTACAGTCAAAGCAGAGTGCATCTTTACCATCCTATCAAGTTGCAGTTATTCAGAATGAAAAAAGACTTCTTCCTCCTTATGACTGTAGGTACGCAAGCCAAACATTACAAAATACTCAGCATATTATTACTCACTCTTCAGAAGTTCCTCAGAGTCAAAAAGTTCATACTTCTGAAATGAGGAAAGACTTTTGCAGGGGCTTTCAACAGCAAAGCCTCAATGAAAATGTCAGTATACCTGGAAATTTTTGTAACATGAAAGTAAATACTAATGTCAATCAGCCTGTTAGTGAGCCTACTAGATCTGTGGACGATGTTCAGATTCTTCATCAAAATAATCAAGAAGAAAGAGTGGATTTTTCTAATATGACTTCAGATCAAGCACTGGACACAAATATTGTAAAAGAGAAGTTAGTGAAGGATATTAAACAATTAGTAGAAATGAGAAAGAAATTTTCTGAACTGGCAAGGAAAATTAAAATTAATAAAAATGTTTTGATGTTAGCAGGTTGTACTAAGGCTAATAGTGAAACACCTCAAAATTCTGAACTGTCTCTGAAACAAACTGGCAAAACCCAGATTGGACCCCATGTAACCCCAGCCACTCCAGAGACTGCAGTGGATAAATCACCAAAAGCAGTGGAAATAGCAGAAGAAACAAATAGAATGCGCAGTACATTGAATTCTAATATTCAAGAGACGAACTGCAGGAATTCTAACCAGGTTAATTCGATTTTACTAAATTCTGTGTGTTTGGGAAAGGGGCCAGTGCCAGACCAGTTACATAATTTAAAAGATACCACATCTTTCAAGATGCCAACTATGGAGAAGAACCAGTTTTCATCAGGAAATACAGTCAGTGTTGAAAATGTGCAAACCAATTCTGAAACAATTTTAGTTCCTCAGTCTATGGCCTCTGAGTCATATGCTTCAAAATATCTAAATGAAAATAAGCTACTTATCAGTCTCCTTGCACATGGAGATGAAATTGAGAAAAGGTTAATGAAAGATGGTTGTGAAGCTATTAAGGATTCTAATCCACACAGTTTTAAAATGAATGCTAATACCCAAATCACTAATAACCAACTGAAATTGAAAACCATGGAAACTCCAAGCTCTTGTAATATTATTGCCAATGTATCAGAAAATTCTTTTTGCCTGGACCATAAATTCCCTAAAACTGGAGTACCTCTGAATGCTGACAGTCATTTGGAATTGCTAGCAACATGCCTTAATCTGTGGAAAAAAAACCCTTCTGAACCTACAGAGAAAAAACCGTGTAATGAGTTAACAACACAGAGAACAGCAGTTGAAATCTCAAAAGCTGGGGAAATCTGTGATAAAACTCCAGTTTCACTTGTGGGATATTCTCAGAATAAGATGGAAAACTGCTCACAAGTAACAACTCTGCCAATGGCAGTGCAAACTTATGAATCTCCAGGTGCAACTACTATTAAGGGAACAGAACTTCAGATTGCTGTGGTGTCACCCTTAATTTCAGATATCAAAACATTGCCTGTCAAAGGAATAACACCTGATCCTTTACCTGAAACAGTCTATCCGGTTATTAAAGAAGGCAGTGTATGTAGTTTGCAGAATCAATTGGAAGAAAACACAAGAGTGACTGCTGTATTGAAAGTGAACGACCCAGTTACAACAAATAAGGTTTTGCCACTAATTCAGAAGGAAAAGCGAAATACTTCAACTAATGGTAATTCAGAAGATGTACCTAATACCAATCAAGGAAATCCAATAGAATCTGAACCAAATATTCACTATCCTGTGAGTGATCATCAAGCTTCATCTAACTCTAAAGACAATGATACTGTGAGTAGTGAGTTGTTGCAGATTGACAATATATGTTCTCTGGTTGAAGGTGATACATCTTATAATTATCAAATAGCAAAGATATTCAACTCACCTCCTATTGAACAGATTGAGTCACAGAAATCATTACCTAATCTCCAAGTGATTAGTACTAAAAAACAAAAAGAACAATTAGACAATATCACTGAAAAGATAGAGCTTGGTTTACAAAAAGATAATTTTTTACAGTACACAGATGTTTTACATAAAATACCTGATCAATCAAAGTCACCACAATCTCTAGAGTCATATTTGAAGAATGTTGATTCAAGTAGTGAAAATAAAGAGGAAAACAATTTGAAGCATTATAGTAAAAAAGTAAGCACAGCTAAAGATGTGTGTTCATCAGCTGCTCTTAATCAGGACAGTAACCTCCAGGAAATTGATGTGTCCTGCAATCACACTGCCCAGGACCCTGCAGTAAATGAGGTTCTTGATAAGACACCCATTTTCTTCCCACACAATCAGCTTTCAGAACTCTCAAAAGAATTTCCCTATGGTATTGAACCTGTGACTACACATGAAGATTCTCCAGCAAAACAAATAACAGACAAAAACTCAAAAGATGAGTCTTGTGATAAAACCAGCTGTGACTCCAAAGATGCAGCTGACCACATAAAAATTACAATATTAAACTCAGAGCAAATGAAAGAATTATTTCCCGAACAGAATGATCTATCTGCGTTAGACAAATTTACAAACTCTGAGAAAGAAAACCCTGTCACAAAAAAAGGAATCCGCTGTGACTCACCGGTACATACAGATGGAGAAAGTCCCAATTTTGTTATGGATTCAGAGAAAGATGATGTCCGTTGCTGTGCATTGGGTTGGCTCTCTAATGTTTATGAAGGAGTTCCCCAGTGCCAGTGTAAGTCCATCAATAACTTGACTTCAAAGGTCGAAAATGGGAAAGATCAGTGTTCTCTGGAGACCAACAGTTATAAGCAAGGAGAGAGTACTTCTGATAAAGATTATTCCATAGTATGTAATATTTCTCCAAATAACAATCCAAAGATTGCGCTGACTTTTCCGATCGGGAAAAACCCTTTTTCTGAAACAGCACAAGGCAGGACTATGAAAGATCTATCAGAACCAAAATGCAGCTCAATAAGGACAGAACAAGAATTATCCGCTCCATCTTTTTCTAAAGGGGATAAAAAACTAGATTCCTTAAAATGTCACAAAAAGAAAAGAAAACTGAAATTTCATGAGATGACTTTTCATTCTAGTGCTAAAAGAAAGTTTTCCCAAGAGAGCTCGCAGAGAAAGATCATAGCACAAAATTCAAGTCCACCTAAAGCAAAGCCAGGTTTCTGGACAAATAAAAATAAAGATTTGCATATAAAAAATGGTACTTTTGTACAGAAATTATTGCCAGAAAAGATAAAATTGGCAACAGGTGATCGTCAGCGAAAAGTTTCAGCAAAAAGGAAGTTAGGTGAAGGGAGCATACTTAATTCAGAGGTAAAGAAGATGAAGTGTTTTAAACAAGAGCAAAATAAAAATGGAGATGGTACTTTGAAAACGTGTACTCCTTTGTCAAACCCCGATGGAAGATCCAAAGTTAAAGAAAAGACAGTATCTAATGTTAAATCATTAGGCTCTACGTCTAAGGATAATTTGCCTAAAGTTGTTATAACGTTAGAGCAGTATTTGCAAAGGCAGAAGCATAAAGAAGCAATGGGTGTCAAAGCATCAAAATTAAACTGTGAGAAAAGTATACCGTGTGATTCTCAACCCATGAGGTCCAGTAAACTTTCTATGCAAGTGGGGAGTTCTGGGAAATTGGATGAGAGACACAGTAGCAGTGTGCATACTTCTGAAGAATCATTAAGTATTTGTTCAAGCCATGATAAAAACACAAAAATTCACCATTCTCATGTTTCTAAATCATACCTTTTGGGGAATGCTAAAGAAACAGTTGATGGAAAGCAACCTGATAAAATGTTCATTGATAAAACCAAATTAGATAAAAATTTAAATAACATAAACAATGGAGGTGAACGCAACCACTTGTCTCCCCAAGCAAAGGAGCAAAGGAAACAATATCTGAACCGAGTTGCATTTAAATGTATTGAACGAGAGAGCATTTGTCTCACAAAACTTGAGAGTTTGCCGAAAAATATTAATAAAGAGAAGAGAGTGGAAAATAAACCTTTACCTCAGAAAAATACCACAGAAAAACAAAGCATGCTGGAGTTTAAATTATGTCCAGATGGACTGATAAATACGAAGATAAATCCCACTGAAGAACAGAAGGATCTGCAACCTTGTCCTAGGAAGGAGCAAGCCCCTGTGCAAGGTCCAGTATGATAGTCCACTGAATTAGAAATTTCGATTTAAACATTAGGAGATACGTAATCATTATTAGTGATATCTTTTACCATCTTTGAAACAGTGGTAACATCCATTTTACTCATAAGAGGGAGGCATATGAAGCAAGAATGTCATCAAGCGCAGGGTGGCAAATAGGTCTTTTATCTGTTGGTTAACTGAATTATAGAATTTTCAACGTAGAGGAAGAAAGGAGAAAATAGATGACTATTTGTGGTATAATGGAAGCAGGCGTTGTGGATATTATGTAAAAAGTATTGTGCTGAAAAATTCAGATTGAAAAACTTGAAGGATCTGAATGGAAATGTTTCTCCTGCTTTTCAGACAAGTATCTGTTAAGTTGCATAAAGTTATAGCTGAAATAGTCACATTTTCTTAGAGGGTCAGAGAGAGGTCTTATTTTAAAAGTATGGGTAATTTCACTTCCTGCTTTTAACCAGGTGTATTGAATTTGATGGATTGGAAGTAATGCTAATATTGAAAGTGGGTGGAGGCAATGTGAATTATGTTTGTCATGTGCCCTTTAATAACTTGAAATGTGATGGCTATTCAACCGAAGTGAAAGTAGTTGCATAGTGCAGGTGAACTTTTGAAGTAAATTTTTCCCCAAATTTGAGAAATTAGGCACTTTAAATATGAGAAAGAATTTTCTTGGTGTCACCCCCTCCCTTTTTTTCTAATTTCTTACCTTAGGATATTTTCCATTGATTTCTACAGAGATTTGAAGGGAGGGGTAAAGATGGAGAGAGAAAAGTCTATGTGAGAGAGACACATTGATTGGTTACCTCCCACACATGTCCTGACTGTGGCTGGGGTTTTGAGCCTACAACCGAAGTATATGCCCTTGACTGGAGTCGAACCAGAACCCTTCAGTTTATGGCTAATGCTCTATCCCTGGAGCCAAACTAGGTAGAGCTTTTGAGCCGTTGTAGAATGATTTGAATATAATAATACCTTTTAGGCTTAATCTAAATTTTCTTCATTGTAGTACTAAAATTGGTGGAAACAATATCTGGATATCTCAAAATGAATATTTAAATAGTTACAGGAATAAAAAGTTCCAAAGAAGACTGGATAAAAGGTGCACCTGAGGAGAAAAGGATTCCAGAAGCCAACCCAGAAATAGGTAAAATTACAAATTCTTTAATATTTTTTATTTCTCTGTTAGTCTGTCATATATAAGCTGGATTACATTTATGGTACTATTGTGAAGTTTTATTTTTATTCATATTCATTTGAAAATGATTCAGGAGTCTGTAACTCAGAGCCGTTGTTGGTTCGGTTCCGGCGCCTCCACTCCAACCCCCGTGGGTCTCTTCTGTATGCAACGGATGGCATTGACCTAGACAAAGCAGCTGGTACAAAGCGGGGACCTGATGAGCTCTCCTCTGCCTGCATAACTACAGGACCTAACTCAGCTTCCACAGCAAATGAAAATGACAGGAAGAAGTTTAAAGGTGACAGCACCACGTTGAAAGGTGACAGCAAGAAGTTGAATGGTGACAATAAGTTGAAAATTGACAGCAAGAATTTGAATGGTGACAATAATTTGAAAATTGACAGGAAGAAGTTGAATGGTGACAATAAGTTGAAAATTGACAGCAAGAATTTGAATGGTGACAATAAGTTGAAAATTGACAGGAAGAAGTTGAATGGTGACAATAAGCGGTTCCGGCGCCTCCACTCCAACCCCCGTGGGTCTCTTCTGTATGCAACGGATGGCATTGACCTAGACAAAGCAGCTGGTACAAAGCGGGGACCTGATGAGCTCTCCTCTGCCTGCATAACTACAGGACCTAACTCAGCTTCCACAGCAAATGAAAATGACAGGAAGAAGTTTAAAGGTGACAGCACCACGTTGAAAGGTGACAGCAAGAAGTTGAATGGTGACAATAATTTGAAAATTGACAGCAAGAAGTTGAATGGTGACAATAAGTTGAAAATTGACAGCAAGAAGTTGAATGGTGACAATAAGTTGGAAATTGACAGCAAGAAGTTGAATGGTGACAATAAGTTGGAAATTGACAGCAAGAAGTTGAAAGGTGACAGGGAGAAGTTGAAGTTGAAAGGTGACAGCAGGAAATCTCATGGTGATAAGTTGAAAATTGACAGTGAGAAGTTGAAAAGTGATGGCAGTAAGTTGAACGGTGACAGCAATAAAACGAAAGGCAACAGTAAGAATTCCACAGGTGACAACAGAAGTTCAGGTGTTCCCTCCAGAGTGATCTGCATCGGGAAGCTCCCTGGGGATGTCACTGAGGATGAGGTCATTTTTCTGGGACTGCCTTTTGGGAAGGTCACCAACTTCCTGATGATGAAATGGAAAAACCAGGCATTCATTGAGATGAACACAGAGGAGGCTGCCATCACCATGGTGAACTACTATACCTCCATGAAACTCATGCTTCGAGGCCAGCCCATCTACATCCAGTTCTCCCACCAGAAAGAACTCAATACCAGCAGTTCACACAACCAGGCACAGGTCCAATCAGCCTTGCAGGCTCTGAACTCAGTAAAGTCCAAGAATGTGGCTCCGGCTGCCTCGGCTGGTGCTGTGGGTGTAGGCACTATAGAAGCAGGTCCTGTTGTTGCTATGAATGCGGCCACTGTGGATGCTGTGGATGTGGGGGCGGGCCCTGTGAGCTCAGTAGTTGTGAGCGCAGGCTCTGTGGGCACGGGTGCTGTATGCTCAGGCACTGATGATGCAGGCCCTGTGGATGCAGGTACGGTGATGACTGGCCAGAGCCCAGTGCTCAGGATTATCTTAGAGAACCTCTCCCACCCATTCTCCCTGGACATGCTTCACCAGATCTTTTCCAATTTTGGCAGAGTTTTGAAAATCACAACTTTCACCCAGAACAACATGTTCGAGGCACTGCTGCAGTTTGCTGAACCATGGAGCGCCGAGCTCGCAAAGGTGTTTCTGGACAGTTGGAACATCTTCGGTTGCACAGTTCGCGTCAGCTTTTCCACCTCTTCCATCCTCAAGGTGAAGTACGACAGCAGCAAGAGCCGAGTCTACACCTATCCTGACCTACCCTGGCATGACGGCCAGCCCTTACAGAACCAGGCCATGGCCTCGGCCTTCAGTGCTGCTCCGATAATGTCAGCCCCTGTGAAATCAGGAGGTGGTTTTCCTTCCACCCTTGATATTCCTCAAGCTGCAGGCCTCTGTGATCCCAATGAGCTCCTGGCCCTGCCCCCTGTGGCCATCCCATTGGTGTCAGGGGTAGCAACAGCGGAAGCAAGCCTGACTGCCATCACAGACCCTGCACCTGTGGCCAACCATTCGGTGTTGGGGGCATCAACAGAAGAAGCAGGTCAGATTGCCATCCCAGGCCCAGCAGGGGCTGGAAATTGTGTCCTGCTGGTCAAGAACCTCAACCCTGAGAGAATCACAATCCAAAACCTCTTCATTATTTTTGGTGTGTATGGCGATGTCCAGCGGGCGAAGATTTTCTTTAAAAATAAGACGCGAGCTCTGGTGCAGATGGCTGATGGGATCCAGGCCCAGCTGGCCATGAGCCACCTCAATGGGCATAAGCTGCACGGAAAGCCTATGCTCATCACGGTCACCCCGTACAAAAATGTGCATCTTCTTCATGAGGGCCAGGCAGACCTGGGCCTCACCAAAGACTACAGCAACTCACCCCTGCACCGCTTCAGGAATGCATGCCCCAAGAAGTTCCAGAATGTTTTCCCACCCTCAGAGAACCTGTACCTCTCCCAGATACCACCCTTCACATCCGCACACAACCTCAAGGCCCTCTTCTCCAGCAACGGCAGACTTGTCAAAAAACTCAAGTTCTTCAAGAAGCACAGTAGCATGGCGCTGATCACAATGGGTTCAGTGGAAGAGGCAATCCAGGCGCTCATCGACCTGCACTATTATGAACTGGGAGAAAACCACCACCTTTGGGTGACCTTTGCCAAAATACCTGTTGACAACTTTCATCTTTCTAGAAAACAGCCACTTTCAAAGCAGCTGAAGTGACCTTAAAATACCAGAGTTGTTTTTTTTTTTAAAGACAAATCAGTTTACCTGTTTTTTAACACTAGATTGCCCAAGGAAGTCATTTTGACTGCTTTTTAATTTCAGTTAGAAAAACAATGATGTATATAATGACAGAATTTCTTAGAATTTTGTCACTTTTTATACAACATATAAATGCGTTTACTAATAATTGTAGTTATCTCCCCTCCTTCATTTGTGATACTTGTTCTAATAAGTTAAGTTGTTTATTTCTTTTGCGCCCTAAATTCATGAAAGAAATGTCGAATAGAAGTGAGTTATTGGAAAAGCTAAGGAACAGAAGTGAAGAGTGCTCCGATATTATTCTTTCACAATGCAGTCATTTTGACTGCTTTTGGGTAATATAGGTATATACTAAATTTCGGTCTTTCTAGTGTTAATATAATTCACCTTGCTCATCTTGTGGAGATGGGGTGCCAGCCTCAGGTTTTCAGTGACACGTGTAAAGGATACCTGCTCCTCCCTGATGCCCCCTTGCCTGTTGCTTTTGCAGCCTATCCCGTGGGCATTCCCAAACCTCCAATTGGCCTTTTTGTGCCTTAACATACACTGCTCTGGCCGGGCTTTCTTGGTGGTGGTAATGCTCAGGGGTTTGGGGACTGCCTTCCTCAGGGATCATGTACCTGACATGGCAAGAAGCTGCCAGCTACAGGATGTGCCCACATTTCAATCTTCCTTTTTATCAAGTGTGTCATTCTCCCCACCCCTGGCTTAAGATATCCCTCCTGTGATGAGACACCTGAAGGTGTGTGTCCCTGATGCTTCTTTAGCTTGTAGCTTTGTTTCATCATAAATCTCTTAATTGTACTTTGATGCAGTTGCAGACATTTGCTCCTAGCAATATTTCTGGTTGACAAAATATTCTAGTCTTCATTTATATGTAAAAGAAATAAGGAATAACTTTCTATATAACAAGATGATAAAAATGGTATGTGTGCAAATCTAAATTTTCTTATTCCTTGGAGTTAAGTTGCAGGGCAGAATATAGTGTCCAGGGAAGACACAGTGGGGGCTACTGAGAAGCCTGGGTTCTTTCTAGAAATCCCCAGACTTGAGTCTTCTGGATGTAGACGCCTTACACCTAACCTGTCCTCTGGGAGGACCAGGGTTCTTCAAACTTGCATGGTTTCTTTTTTCATGCAATTTTTGGACCAAAGTTTTTTGGGATTTTTTTTTTGCCTGCCTCTTGAGCTGTTTCCTTTACCTTGTGCAGTTCTGCATTCACAGGTCCTAGGGTCTTCCCTCTGCACAGACCAGACTTCATGCTGGCTGGACTGGCCCATCCTTTTAGTGCCTGGAACCCTGAACTTTCATGTATGGGTGGGGACAAGGGTATAAATACAAGTTTTTATACAAATTGTAAGACATGAGGTGCAGCATGTATTTTTTTATAGTGCTACAAATACTGTATTTTTATACCAGCTGTTTACAGGGTCAGTATTGTTAATGTGGGGGGAATATGGCACATTCCACTGCCTGCCTGACAATTTGTAATGTGGAAAGAACTGAATTAAAGTGATTTTATAACAACTTTGCCTTTTCCTCAGGCTTTCTGTTCATGTTGTTGAAGGCAGTTTGGCCAGTATGTACTAGACTTTGAATAAACTCTGTATCCTGAAAAAATAAAAACAGAAGATTCAGTGTTTGTGTTTATCAGTAGTAGAAAGATATGGGGAGCGAAGCGGTGATCTATTTCCCAAGTGTGGAATTGAGTTATTTTCATAATGAGACTGATCCTGATTTTTATAGCTGGGGAGGTATTTGGGCAGAGGACCAACCATAAATACCAGAGCTTTTAACATTCAGTTTAATTGGTGGAATGAATCTAGTTAATTTTTAAGGTTTTGCATTGAGTAGAAGCTTGGGTTCTGGAGTTTTATTTTGGTTTTGATTTATTGAATGTCAAGGCAATAGTTTAGTCGCTTGAAAATAAACAATTTCACCAGAAGCAACAAGAAAGGAAAGCACATTTTCAGAAAAGAATGACAAGTTGAAAAAAAGGCGGAAAGCACAAATACTTGTAGAAATTGAGTCATACACATTGAATGTGCAATTAGGAAAAAGTTGACTGAAAGGAGACGTGAACTCTTATTAATCAGAATTGGAAAACAACCAGAAAAGCGGACCCGAGATTAAAATTTTTTTGAAATTGGAACACCAAAAGTCAAAAATAACAGTGATAAAAATGAGCATGTAAATGAAAGCAAGAAAGGTCCATAGAAAGAGGAGACATAGGTATTACTCCAAAGAGAAAGTGAGAGCCATACTTGATATCTGAATATGAAAGTATTCAGAAGATGGATGCACGGGTTGTCCAACTATCTTCAGGCAAGAGATAAGTAACAGATAAAAACCACCACCAACAGGATGAGCAATAAACAGTGAAACACCAATACCTAGAAGCATGATAGGAAGAAAAACATAAACCAGGGAAGAAGCACAATGAGACTTGCAGTTGTACAAGGGAATGGTTGGAAGACATGCTCTCCTAATTTCTCCATCATATGTGGAGAGGGGAGCAGTGATCTATTTTAACGATGAGGGGAGTCCGAGTTACACAAGTTTTAGACCTCTGTTCATTCTGATGAGACTCCGTGAGAAAAGAGAGATGAACTGAACATTGTGAACTTATGTGAAGTGAGATAAGGAATGCTACGACTCCCAAAGAACTATAAACCTTTTTAAAGGATTATATTCCTAATTTTGGTATCAACTTTCCTTGTGTGGTTGAAGCAACCTATAAAACTTTCAGTCCTGGGTATTGTAGAAAAGAAAATAACTTGCTTGAATGGAAAGCAGCAGAGAGACACCCCTAAGGCAGCAGCAATTCTGTCTCCATGAGAAGAATGAGGGTGGAGAAGAATTATGAAGAGGATAGATTATTTGACCCACCCAGGCTTGTAGAATGTAAAACCTACCTCATGTGGAAAGTTACGGCTGGAGCTGGGATGAAAAGTATTGGAATTTTGCACCTGGGGAACCATTAGTGAAATAAAGAGGCACATCAAGAAGTGCACATGAAAAGCTGGTCCCAGGATTTAAAGGAATAGTGAGGCTAATACAGCACTGAAACTGTTTAATGAAGTAAAAGTACAGGCATGTTATGGAATGCCTAAACCAGAATTTTAAAACTGGAATTGGCTGCTGTTTGTGCTGTTCAAATAGCAATGAAGAAGATCACACAAGTTGTGTTCAAATGTCAAATTAGATTTTTGTTGAGCAAGGGAAAAAGCGGAACAGCCTTACCTTTGGAGTGACAATGAGTAGAAAAACAACCCAAAGGACAGGCAAGAAAGAAGTTCTGTGTGTAATCTGTTTAATTGAGAAAAGCCATAGTTCATCAAACTTTTAACTCCTTTTCCCAATTTTTTATACCAGAGAAGATTGTTTCTCTGTTTTGCTCACTAACATTAAGAGAATAACAAAGTAAATAAATGAAATTTCTGTTTCCGTAGATGACAATGTCTTGGCTAATTCAAGAAACACCAACAGAACCTTCAGTGCAGATGGACTTGAGACACTAAAAAACCCAGTAAAGGATTCAAAAGCAACATTTCAAGCCTACCAGAAGAAGTATCTGGAGAAAAGAAGCAAAAGCCTTGGTAGCAGTCCTTTAAAAGAATTCTGAGACTTTAATTCTTATGATTTTGTAACTGGCATGAATTTTTATTATTTTCTGTTCAGCATGCTTTGTTGGAAATATACATAATTTAAGTGATAAAATGCCTCAGTCAGAGTTAGTTATGATTTAGGCTATGTATGTCATTGAGAGCCTTATTTGTGGGTAACAGACAAAACTAAATGCTATTTTCAGGGAAACCATAAGGCATGGAATTACAAAAGTATTGAGCCTATTTACCATTATTTTAAAAGGAGTTCTTATAAAAATCTTATTTTGAAATGCTAATTTACCTTTTGTGAGGCAAAATATTCTTCAGTTAAGGACTTGGTGATTTTAGGCGAGACTTTAAATATATTTTTGTCTTTAAAACTTACTGGCAGAACTTAGTTTTCAAAAGTGCTCTCTGTGAATGTCAAAGTATAGCCTAAGTATTTTATGCCTAATTGTTAACTTTTTTGGTCAGAAGTCTTGTTTTATACTTAGTAAACTGACAGATTTTTGGATAATACTGAAACATTACTTTTTATACTTGAAATAAACTTTTTAAAAAACATTTGGAATCAAAATGGATTGATTTGTGTTTGATTTTTCTACCTTCAAGAGAGGACACACTTTAGGAAGGTGTTTAAATTTAATTTATTAAAGTAACAGTTCTTATTGATGTAAGTTTCATATTTTCTTTATTAAAGACTTTTATTGACTTCAGAGAGGATGGGAGGGGGAGAGAGTGATGGAAACATCAATGATGAGAGAAAATCACTGATCGGCTGACTACTGCACGCCCCCAACTGGGGACCAAGCCCATAACCTGGCCATGTGTCCTTGACTGGAATCGAACCTGCTACCCTTCAGTCCACAAGCTGACTCCATCTACTAAGCCAAATCAGCTAGGGCAGTGGTCTGCAAACTATTAGTCAACAGAGCCAAATATCAACAGTACAACAATTGAAATTTCTTTTGAGAGCCACATTTCTTAAACTATATAGGTAAGTACATTGTTATTAACTTAATTAAGGTACTCCTAAGGCTTAGTAAGAGCCACACTCAAGGGGCCACAGAGCTGCATGTGGCTCGCGAGCCGTAGTTTGCCTACCACGGGGCTAGGGCAATTATAATACTGAAGATCCATCCATGTTTCAAAGTGCAGTATTTAATCTATTTTATGATTGAGTAGTCCATCATGTATATATCAGGTATACGGGTAATATGGATTTTGTAATTAAACACAATTTCAAGAGAAACTTCAAAAGTGCTTTATTTAATGTCCATCTCTAGCTACATATTTTCCCCATCTTTCAGGTAATTTGTGGATAAAACCAAAAGTTTTTTTTTTTTAAATATATATATTTTTTATTTTTTTCAGAGAGAGGAAGGGAGAGAGATAGAGAGTTAGAAATATCGATGAGAGAG